GTTCAGATGAAGTTCAGGTTTTCTCCATATGGATGGTCAAAGTTTAAAGGTGGCTGCTGAAGGTAAGCCCAGGAGTCTGGGAAAGTGCTCTGTAGAAAGGCAGCTGCTGGACATCTGGCAGGGGTGTCCGCTGGGGAGCCCTGGGGTGCTTGTGAGCTGGACTGGTGGAAGTGGAGAGGTGATTCAGAGCCTCCTTCATTTTAGAGCACAGGTATGGAGCACAGAGACCTTGGTGGCTCTGCATTGTTTCAGTTTTGGAAGCAACAATTATTTTAGGTCATTTTAGGCCATGTTGTTGATGGATCTGGAATAGCATAAAGGAAAGGGATACATGTTACAGAGGGTGAAGAAAGGTCAGGAGATACCATAGGGAGGGTGGTGGGAAATCCTCCCCTTAGATGACCAATCCAGAACCTTGAGTGCAGCTGGCCAATTGGTCAGATTGAACTCTGCTTCTCCACTGGGGGTTTGTCTTAATTAATGATGCTGTGATACCTTTCAGGGAAATGACCCTGGACAAGAGTGTGTGACAGCCCCAGCTGTGCCCGGATGTGGGACTCCAGAGCTATGAGCAAGGGTATGGAGTCCATGCAGCTGATGATTGCAGCCTTCTTCCTTCTCCCTCTCCCTCACCAAAGTCTGCCTCATGAGAGGCTCAGCATGCTTGTCAGGAAGATGAATTGCTAAGTATGAGGTTTGAAAATCGCTCGCTTGTTTAGAGTAATGTTGGCAAACAGCTCACACGGCCTCATTGTGGGGGACAGGGCATTCTACAGCACACTTGGGTGAGCATTAAGCCCCTACCATTGCAATTCCCACCTAAATAAATGATACTTTGCGTGGATTTGCATTGATACGTTGGATAAATTCTGAGAAAAGTCCTGTAATCCATGAGCATGTTGAGCCAGCTGCTGCTCCCTTGAAAAGGTCAGAGTAGTATTGCATTAAAAAGCACATTTGGAAATTTTGCTCCTGGTGACTTATTATGCATTATGTTCTGATGTCATTTGCCCCTTTGCATAGCTACAGTATTGACATGTTCTCTTTGGTGAAAGTGGTGGAGCTTGATTGAAATATACATGGGAATAAGCCCAAGGAATGTTTTCATGGCTTTTATTGGTGAATCATAATCAAAACCCATCTGCAGTACCACCAGCTTACCTGCTCCACACAAACACAGCTCTTTCCCCCTTTGCCCCTCTTTTGAGTCAAGTACATCCTAGAAATCCAAAGTCCTTCGCTGTACTTACATTCTTCATCTTATCTGTGCCTGTCAGCCGCACATCTTGCTGGTTGGCCTGAACTCTTCCCTTTTGTTTCCTTTTCTAAATTTACTGTTTATCTCATAAACAAGAGGAGGGGGCTGCAGATCTGCAGCTGTGCGGGTGTGCAGCAGGCCTAGCGGCCTTTCTCGCAGGCTTGTTTGTGAGAGTGAAGGCAGCAGAAGTAAATTAGCTTGCAGATTTCAGGAGAGACTGTTATCAGCGTCCTCTGCCAGGGATCATGCAGAGTGCCAAATTACAATTGATTTCTCAATAAAATTGAGTTCAACCTTCCCCAACATAATCCGAGACAGAAATGACAGAGAACTGTCTCACTTTAAAAATTTTATTCTTTTCAGTCAATTTTGTTCTCTGAGGTTTATGGTTGTTATTAGCCTTGGACCATGACATATTCACTTCGTAGGTCTCTTGGATTTCCTCGAGCATGTGGGTTGTGGAGCAAAAGCAAGAGCCCTGGGCTGACCCCGTTCCCCCCGGCCCAGCCATCATCCTTGGGCAGGGTTCCTCACCTGGTGCTGCAGGAACATGCTGCCAGCCTGTAAGATCCCACAGTGCAGTGTTGCCCTGTGTTTGCAATGAAACGGCGCACAACGAGCTATTTATAGCACGTGCATTGCTTCTGTTCTTCCCCACCTAGAATCACACTTGCTTCTCTCTTTCCATGGAAGCGCATGTTCAAACACATGCACAGGCACAGCCTGGCCTTCTTCTCAGAGCCTGTCACTTTGGGAACCACCAACCAATCAACCTAATTAAAACTAATTTTTCCAATTACCAAAGAATTCCCTGAATGTTGTATCTTGCCACCACCATGCTGGGCTGCGTATAGTCCACTCCTTCTATCCCACTCCCAAACAGGATCATCTTTGCCACAAAAGAAGAGCATCCATTCACTGTTGTTCTACACCTTGAGACTGAAAGCATGTGATTTTCCTTAGGAGGTCAACTTCTGAGGAGAATCACCCATACACTGCAACAGGATCACATGGCGACTGCTACCTTTTCTACTATCTTTACCAACTGTTCGACATTCTTTTGACGATTACAAAGGACCAGCCTGATGTTAAATCATTGAGAAATGTTGACATTTTGATATGTTTCATCACTCTGTCTCCCTCCAGCTGGCTCGCTACATGATTTGCCTCCCATCCTAACCATTTTTAAATATACAATACAGCTTAATGGCATTGAGAGTATTATCTTGTCGTACAAAGGTCATTATGATCCATCTCCACACCTATTGTCATTTTCCAAACCAGTAACTTTGTACCTATTGAATAAGTGCTCCCCATCCCCATCCCTATCCTCCACCTGGCATAACTATTCTACCTTTTGTTTCTATGAATTTGATTATTGTAGGTACCTCATACAGTATGAGTTGATACATGCAGTACTTGTGGTTTTGAGACTAATTTACTTAGTATACTGTTATAAGTTTTATCCAGGCTACATCATGTTGTATGATTTCTCTCCTTTTTAAGGCAGAATAATACTCCATTGTATGGATATACCACTCTTTGCTTATCTATTTTTCCATTATTGGAAACTGTGTTGGTCTTCTGAATTATGCTGCTATAAATAAGGGTGTATAAATATATCTTTAAGGCCCTACTTTCAATTCTTCTGGGTTCCTACCTAGAAGTGAACTTATATTTTTGGCAGAACTTGCCATTTTCTGTTGTTTCTTTTTATTTTGAGAGTATCCAGCCTATTAGTTCTGAGTTAGTATGATTCGCAACACCTGTAGCCACAGATAGCCTGGTTTAATTCATTTTATAGATCAGAAAATTGAGGATTGGGAATGTTGAGTAAACTTTCTGAAGTTTACTCAACCAGTTTCACTAGAGCCTACCTGGCCCTAAAGCCACTGCAGGAAAAATAAGGCCCTTAATCTATGTACAGGCCATACTGACACCTTACCAGTTAGGGAGGCCTTTCCCTTTGCTTTTAATGGCTGAAGTTGACACATGCCTTCCAGGGAAACAGGTCTTCTCACTGGTTATGAGCACAAAGAAAATGTTTCTCTTTTATTCTCAGCAAAGGAAAGGAAGGAGGTGAACAACAATGGTGCTGCTTGTTTTCTAAGCCGTAATAACTTTCCTAATTGTGTAGACAAGAATCTCCCTAATGAGTCCTCCTAGATTTGGAGGGAGAATAGATTTTTCTGTCAAACTATGCAGAATATTTCTTGAAAAAAATTGATAGCCCAGAGATTATCTTAGATCCATGTTCAAAGGCATAGACTGATAAACACACATTTCATTGCCCATTTGAACCTATTATTTAGAAATCTTGTATCTGAGCTCTAAACCTGTCACTTCCTAACTTAGCAACCTTAGGCAAATTTATTCTTCTTTATGTATCAGTTTTCTTATCTATAACATGGGAATAAAAGTATCTAGCTCATATATAGCTCCTGAAAACTGTTGTCTTCCCAAAGAAGGAGTAAGAACAAGCAAAAGAAACCTATGTATGATAGAAGACCAAGCTTGGTGTCCAGCAGAGCTTGCTTTCATTCAAACAGACATGGGGTTTCCCTGACTCCACCGCACAGCCCTGGGCCTAGGGTGGTCTTAGCCTCAGGAGGAAGCAGAGAGCACAGCCACGGTGTCCTCTCCAGAGGAAGGTGCACCTGTGAGGAAGGGGGCGTGCAGGGCTGGTCTGCTCTTGGATTCAGCCAACTTGATGCAGACTTAGGGAGCGGGACATGGAACCTCCCCAGCCAGGTCCTTAGGATGAGTGGCTTCCTCTTCCCAGTAAGTCAACCTACTTTCTTAATCTTTTTATAAAGTTAATATTATTCTGTCTTTTCTGACAGATTTTCTGGTTCTTTTTCTGATCTCTGTGCTCTGATGAAATGAATATATATGAAATGAATACATATGAAATACATATATATAAAGAACTTGTCTTGACACTTATAGTTGTTTAATATATTTTTCCTCTTTCTCTTCTCCTTCTATCCCTCCATCTTCCCTCTACCTCTTCCGCTTATACTTTGGAAAGGATCAAGATCTTATGGACTATTTCATTCTGGCGGAAGTCATAGGTATTTCTTGAATGGCAGCCACTGGCCATGTAGCCTGATTGGTGTGATTGGTCCCCAAGGATAACATTTCCCAAAGGACATAGGAGCCTTTGGGCAGAACTTTGGTTCTGACAGTGCATTCTGGAGTCACATAGACGTGATGGGAATCCACACTGTTCCTCCTCCCCGTCACTCTGGAGCAGGAGAAGATCTCGGGTTCTCAGAGCTGCTCTGTTAAAATTTCAGCCATGCCGCTCTGCCTGCAAGATGTGAGGTGGTGCTTACCTTCCTCACTGTGGTTCATCTCCTTTACCGGTAAGGAGCAACAGCGATGGAGCACAGTGCATATGGCCGTGAACATTACATGCAATGACACAGAGAAAATATTTAGAACACTGGTGACATTTATATTGTTATTGTTACTGCTGCTGCCACAGTTAGTGTCCTTACTTCTATGGTTACTGATGTCTGTGATGGTCATCTGCTTGCTTAAAAGTATTACTTATTTCCTGTCTCTTTCTTGGATTCAGATCTATCCTGTGAACTATTTCTGAAAGCATAATTGCATATATA